AAGGCTCCACTTTTTTTTTTTTTTTTTTTTTTCTTTTTTAAATTATCATTTCATCTATCCGCTCTCTACTTTGGCAGCATTCCCTTCTTTTAATCCTTTACGATTAGTCATACAGATTGGGCTGCGCCACTTGCGTATCTCCAATTTCTTTCCCAGAACATCCTAAGAGCCTCTTCTCGATATAGGGAATATTCGCTCGTGATTTCAATTCGAATCAGAATAACCGCATCGCCGTTAGTAATAGCGGGAGTGAGAAGACTTTTATGACGGGAGCAAAAGAGTAGCACCGGATACGAAAGCTGTCGGTGAAAGAGAGATGGAAAAATCCAGGTGGCAAGTGTCGGCGATAACGATGCATCACGTGACGTCGCGGAGTATGCACAGTTACAGGATTATTATTATTATTAAGAAGAAGAAGAAGAAGAAGAAGAAGAAGAAGAAGAAGAAGAGTGCGTCATTACACGACAACGAGTTTACATTAGGTAGGGTGAATTTGAATTTGCAAGATTGGCGCACAACTATTCCTAGGACGTACAACGAAGGATCGGAAGGATATGTACTATTGATCGATGGATTGAGACTGAGAAGTGTGTAAAAGCGAAGCGTGAAGCGGACAACAAGTGTGTTAAAGGATAATAAATGAATAATGCGTGGTCGTAAGAACGGATTATGTGTGACCGAGTAAAAAGTAAATTGAGTTGGGAAAAAAAAATAATAAAAATAATGAACGTGAGACGAGTACGGGAAAAAAATAGTGAAGAAGGAAAAGAAGAAAATAAAAATAAAACATAATCGTGTACGGACAGAGTAAACGGATGCATGGGAATGGAATTTTAGGGATCTCCTTCGAGGTGAATGACACGTGGCAAATGTGGGATAATTCGTGATACGCGATACGCTCGAATTCTACTGTAAAAAAGTATCTAAAAAATGAAGTCTACCGTTCAAGTACCGAGATACCTAAAGGATTGGTTAAATGAGCGAGCTTATCCTCAAATATTAAATGAAAAGATAAGAGGAGTAAACGTCCGCGTGTACCGTGTACGATATCAATGTTGCGCTGAAAATACTAATAAAAATACTGGGCAAAGTTAGCGACAATCGACTACTGCCTCTATATGCTACTGCTGCTAACTACTGCTGCTGCTGCTGCCGTTGCTGCCCGAGGACGGCAAAGAGAGAAAACAAAAAAGAATACAAGGCGTTGGCTCACCAGTCTTCGAAACTACGAACGATCTTTTCCTTCCCTTTCTCGCGATATATTTATCTTTGAAAATCTTCCCTCCAGCGTTTACTCTGCCCGATTTCATTTAATTGATTACGTACTCTCTCTCTCTTTCTCTCGTTGGACCTTCCATTTTCCCTATTTACGAATATATTCTTTTCTGAGCTCCTTTGCTCCTGGACTCGTTTCTACCGCGTTATTCGCTTAGCGCTCAAGCGGTACACAGAACGTGAACTGGAATTAGCTATACTGGCAATGCATTTGGCACGATACAAGAAAGTACGGATTAGCATGTCTTTTTTTTTTAAGGCACCCTGCTAGCCAAATATATGTATAATGCAATGATAATACACTGTCAATGAAATCCAACTCAAACCGAACATCCGAAGCCAGCAATTTCAGTTTATTCCTATGTTTGGTTACGGGAAAGCCAATTTCGTTTGGTGCGTTTGAGCTAAATAGCATTGTATAGATGTATGCAGATATCTTTGCGCGGCCATTGCTGCTAGCGGACTGATCGTCAAAGACGAAAAGAATGGCACAAAGAATGTGCAATGAAAATGAGAAAACGAGAAAAGAAAAGATTGTAACTCGTTTCTACGTTTGCTCGTGAGTACAGTAATTATCTATCGCTGGCTGCTTTGAGTTAATTGGCGCGCTCGCGTGGCTTTCTCTCTCTCTTTTTTAATTATTATTTCAATCTGTTCTTTGCAAAATGCTAAACCTCAAAGTCCTTCTTGATGACTTCGTACTCGAGGTCGTACTTCTGCTCCTCGAGGCCGTTGATCCTCTTATGATACTGGTTCAGAATTGACTTCAAGGACGCTGTCGAAATTCAGTAATTCATAGATACAAGACAAAAACACATCATTACTCGCCGGTATTTTTCGTATTTTCGTATTTTTCTATTTTCGTATTCTCGTATTCTCGTACTTTTCGTATCTACGATAAACGCTTTCGATAAATCGCGATCAGATTGACTTTCACCATTTTTACTTCAATTTCCTTCCTAATCTTTCTTTTTCTTCCGGTTATGCGTTTCTCGTATTGTTCTCCTCTCGTTCCTCCACAATTGTACGTGTAAGCGTTGTTTGTAAACTTTTTTCACAGTAATAACTACCAATGCGATCGTCCCTACGACTAATCTACGATCATTTACTTCTTTGAGAAATTCTTTTGGAGTTTTGATATTCGAGTGTATGGACTGTGGACGAATAAGGACAATAGGGTCAGAGGATTAAAATAAAGTGATATATAAAGTATGAATGAATTAATGCATGACGAAAATTATGTGATTGAAGGTGCGTGTGTGTGATTGGATATCTATTTTCATGGGAAGATAATCGTGTGTCGTGAGTTCGTCGAGAGAAAAAATAAAATGCGAAATGGGTTTTGTAAAATGACAAACGACTGAAAGAAAGACAGTGAACAGAGAAATAAGTACGAAAAATCGTGTAAACAATGTAAAACAGTAAAAGTCAACACAAGATTGTTTTCCGCTGTGAAAAACACGACGTCACAAATGTCTAGCGAACAATTAGGAAAACGTGAAACCAGCCTCTGCAAGACCTGAGAATTGTGAAAAGAGATTGGCGCTCCGTGAAAAAGTGCGAGAGGCGCGTAGCACGTGCGCTTGTGATTTTGATTCTTGGTGCCTGTGTGCGAGTGCGCGAGTGCGCGAGTGCGCGAGGGTGCAAGTGTGCCAGGAGCGAACCGAAGACCAACAAATATATGAAAACAGCAATTTTCAGGTCTGCCGTTTCATGGATTGTGCGGTATAGAGAGACCTCTACCAGAAAGGGTGCGAATCGAATAGAGTAACGAGCGAATACCGAGTGTATAATGAGAAACAAAAAGGTCAAAGAGAAAAAATTCTTAAAAAGCATAGAAGCTACAGGGGAGAATCGAACGACATGAAAAATAAGAAGATCCGAGATCCTCGCTTTGTTGTTCGAGGCTTTAAAAAAAAAAAAATAAAAGTATCGACGACAGGACGAAAAATCGGGAACAACGTACAAAAATATAGAAATATAAATTAAAAAATATTGCTTGCTCGTTGTGTTATAAAACGGCAAAAAGTGCGAAAGCTCAAGCTTTGAGCGAACATTGAAAAACGAAAAAAAAGATGCAAACACGTATATAATCGGATAGTACATCAGCCTTCCGCATTTTCAGAGTTTCGTATCGTCAAGCAGCACGTGCGCTCAAGAGAAGAAAAAAAGAAAAAAAAGAAAAACGAAACAAGTGGAAGAAAAAAAAAGGAAACACAGTCGACGGACGACGTGTACAAAAAGAAAAAAGTAAAAAAAAAAACGTATCAGCAGTAAAAAAATATGATTGAAGAAAAAGAAGACGAAGAAATTAGAGAAGAACGATAAGTGCAGTAAGAAAAAAAAGATATGTGTGACACATGTGTACCTCGTAGTCCTTCCTCTTAACGATATACTCGAAGTCGAATTTTTGATCCTCCAATGCATTGATCCTATCGTGGTACTCGCGCAGCACACGTTTGATAGTATCTGCGTGTTTGTTAAAAATATTTTTTATCAATTTCATATGAGTGACACGTGACACGTGACACGTGTTTCACGGGGGCAATCGAGCGATATGTGTGCCAATGTATAAGAATGACGTGGCTCGTGGTGCGCGGAAAATGAAAAGAAAAAATGAAGACACGTCGACGGGTGTTGTGGCTGGGTGAGAGACACAGAGATAAACGTAAAGTAGAAAAAAAAAAAAAAGACAAAGGCTCCGGGGAATGGTGGACGAGATTGCCTCGCGTGTATTTGGAGAATCGTGTGGGTGGATATGGATGTAGTAATAAAGAATCAAGACTCACTTTTATACGAAAGGCTTTACGTGAAATCCTCGAAAAGCATCGGATGCCGATTTCCGGAGGGATTCTCGCTCTCGCCGATCCGACGGCCTGCGTGCTTAATGCATTTACATAGTTCCAACGCACGAGAGACTTACGATCGCGCGAACGCGGTTACCGAGGCGATCGAAATCAACGACTTTTAGTCTTTGTCTCTGCCGAACGTGCCCAAAGAAAATATATAAATAAAAGAAGGTCAGAGAGACGCCGGGGACTCGACTCGAGGCACGGTAATCTGTAAAGAATCTCAGCCTGTTAATTAAAGTCCTAATCGAGTTCTAAGGGTGAATCGGGCTGCAGGCGGAACCTAACCTCAAACGTTCCCAGTAAAATTTCGACTTTAGAGCGAAAGGAAGAAAGGACGAGCCGTCCGGAAGGACACCGAATGCCCCGTATACCGGGTGGGAAGACTTGGAATTTATAATAGCGACGCGTCCGACGTTCGAGGGCATCCGGACGGCAGGCGCCTTCGTCTCGGCGTCCATGGGGAACGTCGACGCACGAGAGCGCCGAGGCGCTCCAAGGTTGCCGTGGGTAACTTAGAAGCTAAAACCTCCTAGTAACCAGCGCGCGGATCCCTTAACGGCCTTCGTTCGAATTACCTTCGTTCGCGTCGTCGACGTTCTTCGGTTTTCCGCAACGCTCCTCGATGATGCGTCTCCGCTCGGCCGCCTTCCTCTCCTGCTCCTTCTTCAGCTCTTCGGCGGCCTTCTTACGCAGCAGTAACTAACGGCCAGAGGAGAGGGACGCGTCATTAGCGCAACACGCTCAGTCCTTAGCGCCAGACATTCTCATCGGTCTCCGCGATGAGAAAATATTTTATTTTTCTTCTCATCGAGGATATATGTATATGTACTCACCCTGAGCTTCTTCTTCCTGTCGGGGGTCATGAAACCCTTCTTGGCCTTCTTGGCCTTGGAGGCCTCCTCGAGGCGAGCGCGCACCTCCGCCCTCTTCCTGTCCGTCTCCGCCTGTTTCCTCTTCTTTTCCTACATTTTCAGCGTCAAAATCGCTTTAAGTTCTCGGCCAAAATCACCAGACTCGTTATTACTTTTCTTGCGACAGTCTACGTCGTTAGTCGGACAAGTGGTAGAAGACCAATTTCGCGAAAAGACGAAAAATTCGGCTGCGGATAATTTTAAAAATTTTATGTTTTACTAAAAAAAAAAAAAAAGAGACTAATTGGACGTAAAAATAATTTCATGTTCCAGCGAATTCGTTAAATATGTGGCAAGGTGTTAGTGCGTTACTTGAAGAATTTTCTTCCTTCTGAATATTTATTAGGGGTCGTTAGCTACTCTTGGATTTTTTTCTTTTTTATCTCTTAACGCGCGTCTTCGCTTTCGCAAACCACGCGTCATCGCTACCGTCCGAATCCGTAAGCCTGTCTCTGTCCTCCCATCTCTTACGTACATCCTCGATGCGCTTCCGCTGTAAAAGAGAAAGAAAAGAATTTCTCATTAGATACCGAATTACTCTGGCTGATAACACTAGCGAGAACCCGAGGCGCAAGCTCTTTTCTAAAGGTGCTTTTCTCTGTTATCGGCGATCGGTAGGATCGCATTTACCGCATTTATCGCATTTATCGCATTTATCGCATTTATCGCATTTATCGCACACCCCTCGAGTTCTCTGTGATATCGTAAAGCGCCGGGACGATCACTCGTGCGGTTTTGTATTGCGTTTATTATTTGCATCTGACGAGCAAGAAAATATGTGCTCTACGCTCATGTGCGAAGGGCCAATTTTTTTAGTACGATCGGTGACCGAACCATATGCTATTGACGATTTTAAGAAAAAATGTTCACTTACAGAAATAAAGGTAAAAGCTTCGGTGCGAAAGGACTCGTTATTGCCAAGCAAGATTTTTATTAGTTTTCTTCGAAATAGCGGCACTTGCATGCAACCCGTGTGTTATTTGTATTCTATACATTACCATTCTGTGTACAATAATTGTTCCATGGTGTATTGTGTATGTATCTTGTTGCTGTTGTTCTTGTGTCGTGTTGTATCGTGTTGTTGCTTTTTACTTTATTAACACTACCCAACTCACTTGTCAGTCACTCGCTATTGGCGATTCACATTTATAAGGGCACAATCGACATATCGTAGCACAAACGTGTATTTCCCCGATAGCACAGAGGAGACTTCAGCGTGTTCCTCACTAAACAATGAAATCGATACAAAGATTCACTACTGGCAATCGAGCATGACGCCCCGAGGACGACTTTCGCCTGCGCGGGGATGCATTGCCAGCATATTAAAAAGGTGTCTTTGCCTTTCCGTGCTTCCCCACGCCTTTACTGAACCCAACATTCGAGATATCCTTGTGGCGCGCGTGCTATCGGAGATTCTACCTCTATTTGAAACTACGTTCGGCCAAGAAACGGGGACTTTCACGAAATTATGTTGTTTGGTCTAGTTTCCTTGGAAAAATTGAACACGACCAACTCGTACTATACATAACGAAGCAAGATTCTTGTTGATGTAAACAATAAATGAAAGTCCCTCTTTCTTGCAGTTATAGCGTAACGGAAAAGAAAAAGAAAAAGAAATAAAAACATTTACGATAAACGGGAGAAGGTGAGCGGTGCTGAAATAATAAATAATAAAGTGAAATTAAGAGGGAAATGATAATCTAATATGGTGGAATAAAGAAAAGGGGGGAATTCGAGAGAGCAGCAAAGTATAAAGAAAAGCAACCAATTGACCCGCCTGAGGGTCCGAATAAAGAATATTTCAAGGACTTGTTTGTCGACGTCCCTCTTTCATCTTCGCCCATCGCGGAAACGTGTCGAGGGAACTTTTCTTCATGTTCGCTGCTTCGGGCAATGAGAAATAAACTTGGAATCGTCATACAATGACTTATAGAGGTAGCAAAGAAAATGGGGAGAAAGAAAAAAATAAGAATAACGGGCAAACACATAATGTGTATAAAGAGCGAACGAAAGACAGGATGCTCGTGTCCATTCTCTTTGGAACAGGACGTTGCTCTACTGTACTGGTTGTCATGCACTCGTTTAACCTACACAGTTCAGTTTCTTTGAACCGTAGTCACGCCACAATCTTTCGTGAGGATTTTTCAATCTTAGTCGTACGGGTGGACGGGGGCTGGCTTTCAGTGTTTAGCAAATACTTGGGGAGAAAAAAGCTTTTGACAGGTAACAACCATGCGTACCTTTAAGTGACGTCGATACTGCTCGTTTTAGGTTGGTCCAACGTAGAATTTGAAGATTGGTTGAAAATAATCGTGAAATCGATTGGACGCCGATGGAAGACGGAAGATGGCGTCATGAAAAAGAAAACGGGAGAAGATCAAAATGGGCTTCGCCTTAGTGCTTTTTCCCTTCTGCGATGAAGATTCTCGCTGCTCACCAGGAATCATTCTTTCGATACATACCTAACCTCGTCGTCTGCCATCGTGAAGTTTGGGTGTTACGCGCGTCTACCTGAGAACGGAGATTTGGAAAATTGTCAGAGTGTAAAAAACAAGGATGGTTCAGCGAGTATATCGAGAGCTTTCGATGTGACGAGAAGGGAAGAGAGAAAAGAGAAAGAGAAAAAAAAGCAAGTGCACCGGGTGCAAAAGGTACACTGTGTTACTCGAGTGTATAATTTAAGTTTCATCTAAAAATATCGTACGACCCGAATTTCGCTGCGAATCATCGCTCGTTCGTAAATTCTGCCAATAATAGAATGGAGCTCGTGTATCCGCGAAAGTGGTCGATCTACCCAAAAGGTCTTCTTTTACTCAAATTCTGAATAAAAAATTCGACTTTTCCTCGAAACCTAAGCTCGTCTGGGTAACTTTTTTTTTTATTCAACCCGAAACGTAATACAAGCCTTTTGCATAAATCGTATGCGAAACGTCGTAACGGTCGGGTATTGAATGTCCGTGGTTCGGAAATAGACGGGCGTCGTCCCCACCTCGCGGCGTCGCGACGCTAGCCATCCAAATTTGGTTACGTACGCTCCTGCTCGGCTGCGCCCCACTCTGTCCCCCTGCTACTACTTTCCTTAATTATTTTAGTTAGAACGGAAAAACCGAAATTTTTTTTAATCGATCAGTCAACCAAATTCCTTATGTTTACGCGAGTAATACGGCAAACGAGGTGATAAAAAAAAATAATAATACAATAACGTAAAATTTTTAAGCATTTCCATCGATCCAAGAGACATGCAATCGTTTTGCGTTTAAAGCTATAAAATTCTATGATCGGCTAGAGCGAGTCAAATTTATCCAAAGGAGATAAACAATGTATATAAGTGGCGCGTGTGTGTATAGGCTAGGCGTGGGTATCGTCAGTAAGAATTTATATTTATCGCGAGTGAATCGCGTCTGCTAAGTATAGACGTCGCGAACGTTCACGCAGGCCAACCTTTCCGAGGCAGCAGCCGTTACCGTCGATCGTCTGTGCTGCGACCGTCTCCGATGTCAAACCCAATAAATTTGATCTTTTAAAAATAGATAAATTCCAGCAACGTGTCTAACACGATACTGACGTGACGGCCCAAGATGCCTGTACGAAGTAACAGTTACTTCGTTCTGGACACCAAATGCCGACACTCTTGTCGCTAACGATCATTGTTATTTGAGGCCGAGATGGTCCTCCACATACGTTATCTGTCATATTTCATATCCAATGTATTCCATTCGCTCGCGTGCGCTGGCTCATCCGTCGAACTCTCACTCACTTCCGAATATCAAGAGTATCCTCGGTAACCCGGCACTCTGTACCAATTTCGAAATCCCACGAAGAACATTTCCGTAAGTGCGACGACCCGTCTTTCGACTTCGATCCGTCACTTTTCTCAAAATTTTTTAAATATTTCCGCTGGGGTAAACGTCACTCCCAACAATTGCGAATAGCGCGCACTGTCACTGCATTCAAAATATTCCTCGTAGATGATGGTCGTGTTCCACGAAGTCACAATATCCTTTCTTTTCCAGCATTTTACAAATATTTCTTACAGGCTGATAGGGCTTAATATGGAATCGCCGAATTTAACCAACTTTTTTATTCCTTTCTCTCTTAGGCTCTCGATTGTATCTCCCTAGTTTTTATTCTCTCTCTCTCTCTCTCTCTCTCTCTCTCTCTCTCTCTCTCTCTCTCTCTCTCTCCACTTCTTTCTCACACATTCGTCTATATGCATTCGACTGTTTGATGTCGTTCGGTTAGCTTACCTGAGAAGAACAAGTGGCTGTGACTAGTCAACCGGACCTTCGGCAGCTGACTGTGCCGTCGGCGACGCATCCTCGCACTCCCGAAAGCGACGATCGCGATGCACACCACGTGATCGTGAATACGCTTTGCCGATTGGTCGGAATATTTTTAGACGAGCCGAGCTAGCCTCACCAAAAATACACCAAACTGAAAACGGAGCCGTTCGACGGCACCAGGCCGAGAGAACATTCCTAGAAGTTTCCCGTTCAGAAAGCTCGCAATAGACGAACGCTCCAAAATAGAAAGAATCACGAGCATTTTCACTTTTCGACTAGACACCTTCGATATTTTCTTACAGCTTCTACGAGCTGCACTATCGCTGCAACCATCTTGCCATGAGATCCGACACAGGAGAGAGAGAGAGAGAGAGGACGAGTCCTTGGGTAGGTACCCTCGCGAGAATCGACCGACACCAGTTCTATTAAGGATCGTTTATGCGTCCTTCGTAATTTTCGGTCTGGTTTCCATTGACAGCCTAATATTTATTTTTCTTTGACGACACTGGAACACATAGAAGCTCATAAGACTTCAGCAAACGGCATTGTATCCATTCATTGACGCGATAGCGGACGCTTCTCTTTGACAGGGTACTCAGGAAATTGGGGTGACTAAAGATCGTCAAGACTCCGGCCTTCTCGAAATTCTTGCGTTTCGTCGGAGAATTTCGAAAGAGATTGCAGCTGTGGCCGAATAGGGGAAGAGGATAGGCGGGCATTGGAGAGATTGCTCCTAGAGGTCGCTGATCATCGGGGCATATTAATTATAAGATATTAGCGAAGTGTCGATGCTCCAGGTCGGACATTGTGCTCCAGCGCAACAGCTGTGTGGCACAAGCGTCAAATCCTAATGACGAAATCGTCAACGACTCGACAGAATTTCCTCGAATATATGAAGCTCGTAAATCTTTGCCCAGCTCGATTGAAATCTACTTATTTTGTCTGTGGACGAATTTTCAATGTGTACACGATTGTAAGGAGGGACGAGGGAATTTTCGATAATAACTAAAGATCGTCGTTGAGAGTGTCTTGTCAATGCAGGTCAACGCTCATTTCTAGCACGGAATTTTATCTTCTTCGGGTTATGCTTTTTTAACGACCTCTGGTAAAGAGCCTCGAGCACCGCACGGTAAGTCAAAAGCTCTCGGTAATGCAGGGCACCTCGATACCCTCTCGGTAGATTCGCGGGCGTCGAGCTTCGAGCTTCGAAGTTCAACGATCACGTGACTTTAGCGTGAGATGGCGCGAGTTTAGCTGGATTAGAAATTCTTAAAGATTCCGAATAGACAGAGCTTGTGCGAATTTCATTGTGCGAAAAACAACTTCAAATTGCTAAACAAGTTAAACTGCTCATTCTGTCGTATGTATGTTTAACAATACATTGATATTTCATTATTCACCGAGTCGTACTTTTTTTATTAGCATCATTTATTTTTTTTAAAGAAAATCGCTCCAGAGGAGAAGAACGAGTGAGAGGGCGAGGGCCAGGTAGGCGAGACGCATTTAATGTCCGATAGGAGCAGCACGTGATAATTATTCACGAAAACATGCGCTCTCAAGATATCAATTATAACAATATTTATGTACTTATTAATATCTCTATTTTACTACTGAATTAAACAAAAATTGATAGTTGTGTTCATATTGGCATTACTACATTGCGGCATTGCAGTTGCTCGTCGGAAATCCAGTAAGTCGCACTTCAAGAGTTTTAAATTATCTCACGAAGGATCTGAATTTACATATGCATCTGGTAATATATTCGGATTTTTTAATATTAAAAATGATGCGAATACAGGAGTTATTGTCAAATTTTAACCGTTCTGAAGAAGCTACAGTCATATCGGAAAGTATTATTGAGTAGTAATCTATATAGGGGAAAATTAGGAAGACGAGGAGTTGAATTCCTTGCGAAATTTTTAATATTTTTCTCCTAGATTTTAATAGACAAACTGTCTTGTCAATTTTGTTTATTACTACTGTCACGTGATCCTTCGAATGTAAATTAGAATATTCGAAGCAATACCGAAATTCCTTAACTTCCCATAACAATGTTCAGAGAGAAAGATCGATCGAAGAAGCTGCAAAGTAGTCGTGACGATCGCAAGTATCGACAAACCGACATATGCATACAGGAGAGACATTAGGGTACGAGCGATTGCATTGCTATTCCCATTCCCCATTTCCATTCCCATAACCTTTAACCTATTCCCATCGGTGGGGGATACAGGGAGCGAAACCTTCAGGGTGGTTGACCCGGCGTCCCCGTTGCCACGACGACGATCCAGTGACGTCACGGGACAAACTCAGGTTTATGGGTGACCCACATTCCAAAAATAGAATCCGACCCGACTCATCCCATCGCATAGTCCGGGTACCACATCAACCCCAGCTACCCCAACCCTGCGCGAGCCCCCACCCCGCGGCGCCATCCAACGGTGTCCTGTCCAGGGCCGGAGGGGCCGATGCAAGTCCCTGAGCTTCAGAAGGGGGACGAGAGCCACATTTATTGATTGACAACCGACGAGAAACGGCCGACCGTTCGCTTATAATTCTTCTGCTCAGCCCCGTTCTGCTCCTGCTTCTTTCTTCCCTTTCTCCGCGCGTGTCCTTCTGCTCCCGATTCACCTGATTCTGCACCATTTTACATAATTTTCCAGGCCTTCGCGACCATTCGAATAATTACACTGCTGATACCTGAACGCGTGCCTCCCGTGTCCCCTGTGTAGACGGAGAACGTGCGATAGGAAAGGCCTTCAGGAAGCGTACGAGAGGCGTGAATTTTGGCTGAGGTATCGACAAGCGAATCATCGAAGAAGAAGAGTCGAGGCTTTTTTCAATGGTCCCAGAGCGAACCAATATTCTTCCACTTAAAGCAATCCCCGGACGATTCTTCTTCATTAAGATTTGCCAATTTTCCTTTATTATCCTTTATTTCATTTATCATATCTCAAGCTATACTTCTATACGCTAATGAGAAGATGATTTCTTCTATTTCTCTACAGGCTTTCGCTACAGGGGTACATGCAGAGGCAGCCGGGAGGAGGAAGGGCATAGAACCGAAAGACCAGGAGGCGGAGAAGGATGTGACGTCTTTCATGGTAGCCATGGTGACCGGTCAATGCACCATGCAACCGACTACGGAACGCTGAGGTATTGCGGACAAAGAAACTCGACGCTTTAGCGATTTTCCTATAATTTACAAATTCATTTTCATACAACACTATAGATATACAGAAACGTTCTACCTCTCAGTTGTATTATAAGTCTTCTATAGTTTCCTTGTTATATTTCAGGTAACTCTCTTTTACTTTATACCGATTTATATTCACGATCAATAACGCGTGATCTCTACTCTTTTTCCTCTCTTGCTTCGGAACGTGATATCGATCCGATCGACAGACCGATCATTAACGAAATCATATATCCTTTCTATCCTGCCCTCTCGTTTTCTCCGCAGCCTCCTTCCTTTTTCTTTCCCCGACGCCGTCGAACGGGGAGCTACGACCTCGCGACCTACTTTGGCTCTCGTGACGTCACCGGTGCCCCCTACCCCACCGATTCCCCCGACATCATTGCCCGGGCGAATCTGGGTCAGTCGGAGGCAAGTCCACGGGAGATGGGGTAGTTTATTGAGAAATTCGCTGCTAAATTCGGTGTATTTGCTGGAAATAGCGCGATGCCGGAAATAACTTATTTCGACGCGCTGCCAGAGATCCGAGCCACTGCTATCGAATCTGCCGAAATAAACATCGCGCTGCCTTCGCAATTAACGGACCCACTCTCGCTGGGACAAGTCACTTTTTTTACTATCTATCACTTCTCCCAGGTTTGTGCTCGGATCTCATTGAAATCGGAAGCCGCTCGCATTCCGACATTCTTTCTCCAATGCGACGAAACAAGGACTCTTCATTTAATTTTGACTTTGGATAGGAAATCCGCTGGGAACTTTTTTCCAGAAAGACTTTTTCCTCGTTGTCTAGGAGAACCGTTACTTTTAGGTAATGATGGGCCTGCAATAAAATGCTGCCATTTGAATTCACGTGGAAACCAAAGACACCTCGTTGTCACTCAGTGAAAGGTCCCGTGGCGAAAAGAATCGACTTTGACTTTGTGACAAGGTTTGATATAAAAAATATATAAACTAAAAACTGCTACTTCAGGAGTAAAGATATGCCTAGATTATAGAAATCGGCACATGGCCGACGATTTACATCGTGAAATTATCAGTCAAGCTACGAATCTCAAAATGTAAATTCTGTCAGCTGACAGACGCATACGTGTACATCTTAATAGAAGATAATTTCGGCAGCAATAGCTGAGAGCTTGACTATTGTAAAATATTACGATACAGAAATACGTTTGCTTTTTGCTAATTTCATTCGATCAGATTGAATGCAGACAACGAGAGACACCACCAGTCTCCAATGTGAGAAAATGTGATTTTCAAAAACATCCTGAGACTGCAACAGCTCAAAAGTCGAACGGTTAGCAGATCTCATGAATGGCCGCGTAATGTGAATGAAGCTCCAGTGATCCAATTTTGCGGCTCCCCTTTGGCTCCCTCTTCGGCTCTCCTATCGCCTTTTCCACCCTTCGGTCTCCCTCCCAGCCGTCAGCCTTGCCAGCCTTGCCAGCCTCGCCAGCCTCGCCAGCCTGCCTGCAGATCCTGACGTGGGCGTTACGTCAGGGACAGGTTATCGACTGCACCCTTTTCCCAGTGGGTGCCAGAATCCACCGCCGCTAACTGTAACCGCACCGACAACATCTATCCGCTGCATTTATTGGAAAGATTTACCAACATCTTTTACTAAATCGATCAAAGAGATCTCAAGCTGATCTTGACCAGATCTCGATCTGATCTGTAGACGACACAGTAAAAAATAGAGACCTGTCGCCGAATCGATTGGGACAAACTCGATCGAGGAGAGAAAGTGCTTCTAAGGTTGTAGCGTGGATCATCAGTCCAAAGATGGATCATGTCGAAGAAAGTGTATCTGGCTGAAGTCCAATCGTAATTGTTGACGCGATCATATGGTGACCATTGCGATTCTCATGGCACCCATAAAGGGAGTCCAAA